CACTGCCTCTTTCAAGCGAACATTCATCACTAAATATGATCTTGCTCCACTTAGCCCACGTTTAATTTCTTTGTTCTTGACATTATTTAAGTCGTTTGATAGCCAATTGAGGAGTTAATAGAGGTCTTTTTTTAGCTAACTAATTAGTAATGCCTTCGTCTTTGAGGATTCGATAGATAGTCTTTCGATAGATACTAATACCAACTTCGGACTTGATTTCTTAATAAGTAGCCTTTGGATTAACATGAATAAGACGTAGAATATTGCGTTTCTGAACCTTATTCAAGGTCTGGGGGCGTCCTGAACGGGGCAAGCTTTTGCCTTGGTTGCGCAGTGGATTTTGAGCAAGGGTATTGAAAATGGTGGATTTGCCGCATTGCAAATTTTGACTAATCTTTTGATTTGTCAACCCCATAGCTTTGTACGCAGAAATTTGACCTCGTTGGTATGGAGATAACTCCTTGCCATAGCTCCTGTTAATTTCAAGAGGCGCCAGAGCCTTGCGTTGAGCCATAGGAGTTGTTTGAAAAAGGGTGTAAAAAAACGCGTGTTCAAAAATAACGCGTTTTGGTCCGATACTTTCGCGCGGGGCTGTAGTAATGGTGAAGCGCCGAGACCTGTAGGGCCGGAGCTAGGGGCCAAAATTCTTGACAGTTCTCACCATCCTCAATAACCCCCCCTATCTTTGAACGCTCTCAACTCCACCAAATCAACTCCTATTTAACTACGAAATGGCCAGAACAAACAAAACCACCCGAAGAACCTGTCGACAGGTTAATTCGTCAGTTTCGATTACCCCTACGTCGCCACGGCGATCACAAACAATTGTGGATACCCCTCGAAGAACGCGCCTTATTTGCGCCGCAGAGTCTACCGCTGGCAAACTACCTCGTAAGGAGTTATTCAAAGCATATGGAGTTTCTGAATCTACTGGCTATCGGTTACTTAAGTCGAAATCAACGCGCCGCAGCGAACGCATACATAATCGAGGTCGAAAGCGAGTTCTTGCTCCTTATCAATGTGATGCTATTGAAACAGTCGAAAATGCCTCATTTCAATTTGCAGCTACCTCTCATTATGCTATTGCAAGAGCTATTGGCTTAGATAATGGATCTGAGCGAGCAATTCGAAGAAATATGGCTGAATATGGCGTGGGGACCTTTATGGCGCAGCAGAAAAAATTCATTTCTTCTACGTCAATTGAAAAACGCGGAATTTGGGGATTTGACCGTCGATATTGGCATTTAAACGACTTCAAACGCTATAAATATAGCGACGAATCACACTTCGCTTGTGCCTTGCAACGACAAGCTCGAATTCATCGTCGTCGTGGCACAGATGCGCGAAATGCTCCCAAAAAGGTCCAATTTCGATTTAAACGCCGAAATCAAGTATGGCACGTTTTTGCGTACATTGGATGGGATTTCAAAAGCAAGCTACACTTCTACACAGGCTCAGGAGCAGGGGGGAGACTTACGCAAGTTGATTATGTTACTATTTTGGAGGAAGTTGTTGCTCCTAATTGGGATCCTAATTGGGTACTTTTAGAGGATAACGATAATGCTCATGGCACCCGTGGCGATGCCGATAACAAATGCAAACAACGAAGAAACGTTTGGGCATCAGTTGGGAATCTAATCCTCCAGAGTCGCCTGATTTGAATCCAATTGAGTCGATTTGGAGGATAATAAAGCAGAGGTTGAAGAATCGAGGGCCAATCTTCGATGCAGAAGCACTACGTAAAGCTATTAAGGAGGAATGGGATAAAATCACTCTGGATGAGATCAATAAGGCAATTAGTACGATGCCAGATCGAGTAACTGCCTTAAGAGAGCGAAATGGGCTCCCTATCCCCTACTAAATAGATATAGAAATAGTGGTGTTGACGAGAACTGTCAAGAATTTTGGCCCCTAGCTCCGGGCCAGAAAAAGCCTTGGCACGTACGCTAAGGCGACAAAGGTTAGTTGCCCTCGGCCTTAATTATCCAAAATCCCCGATCAAAAAGTTCGAGAGGCTCTAGATTTTTGCAGAGCGAAATATTGTGCGCCAGACGTCAACATGGCAGACGTGGATGACCAGATCAAGACTACAAAGAAGCGAAGAAGGAAACATGGGAAATCTGTTCCAGAAGGAGATGATGGGAAGAAACCGGTGCAGGATGACATCAAGTCTGCGACTGAGTCCGCTACTCTCTCCCCCCTGCTCAATCAAGCCGTTCAGAAACCTCACAAGAAGCGGAAGACAAGCCACGACTCAGACTTAAAAGATTCCTCCAACCCAGAGAAGGCGGTCCAAGTGGAGAGTCCGGCGGGCTCTGCGCCTGAAGACTCTGATGCAGCAACTTCCCAGGTTGAGGACAATGACACGACAGACATTGTCAACGGCTCGCATGCACCGCAAACAACGACTGATCTCCCTACGGACTCTACCCCATCCCTACCACAGGTAGAAGCAAGCGCTCAGACTTTCGCTGAGCTCAACCTTTCCGAGAAGACCATGAAAGCAATAGAAGGCATGAACTTTTCCAATATGACTGAAATACAACAAAGAGGCATACCACCGCTTTTGGCAGGTCGTGATGTACTTGGTGCTGCAAAAACGGGATCAGGAAAGACGTTGGCGTTTCTGATACCAGCTGTGGAAATGCTCTCGGCCTTGCGCTTTAAGCCTAGAAACGGCACTGGAGTCATCGTTGTATCACCCACTCGTGAGCTTGCATTACAGATCTTCGGGGTGGCTCGAGAGCTCATGGCTCATCATTCCCAAACATACGGAATTGTCATTGGTGGGGCGAATAGACGGGCTGAAGCAGAAAAATTGACAAAGGGGGTCAATTTACTGATTGCGACGCCTGGACGACTATTGGACCACTTGCAAAACACCCAAGGCTTCGTTTTCAAGAATGTCAAAGCTCTCGTTATTGATGAAGCAGACCGCATCTTAGAGGTAGGATTTGAAGATGAAATGCGTCAGATTATCAAAATTCTTCCTAAAGAAGAGCGGCAAACCATGCTTTTTTCAGCTACACAAACCACAAAAGTCGAAGATTTAGCCAGGATTTCCTTGCGTCCCGGGCCTCTCTACATCAATGTCGATCATAAGAAAGAGCATAGTACAGTGGCTGGATTAGAGCAAGGCTATGTGATATGTGATAGCGACAAGCGATTCCTCCTCCTATTCTCCTTTTTGAAAAGAAACCTCAAGAAAAAGATCATCGTTTTCTTCAGCAGCTGCAACTGCGTCAAATATCACGCCGAATTACTGAACTACATTGACCTACCTGTCCTCGATCTGCATGGTAAACAGAAACAGCAGAAAAGAACAAACACATTCTTTGAATTCTGCAACGCCAAACAAGGCACCCTGATCTGCACCGATGTCGCAGCTCGTGGTTTGGATATCCCAGCGGTAGATTGGATTGTACAGTTCGACCCTCCGGATGACCCGAGAGATTACATCCACAGGGTCGGACGGACAGCGCGAGGCTCGAATGGCACAGGGAGAAGTCTGATGTTCTTGCAGCCGAGCGAGGTGGGTTTCTTGATACAACTGAAGGAGGCGAGAGTGCCTGTTGTAGAGTTTGAGTTTCCTGCAAAGAAGATTGTCAACGTGCAGAGTCAGCTGGAGAAGCTGATTGGGCAAAATTATTACCTTAATAAGGTACGTCTATCCGGCCTTCATACACTGTCTTTGAAATGCTAGGCTAATAGTAGTTGGTGCTTACAGTCAGCAAAGGATGGCTACCGATCCTACCTCCAAGCTTATGCTTCGCATTCTCTTCGTTCAGTGTTTGATGTCAACAAACTCGATCTCATCAAAGTTGCCAAAAGCTTTGGTTTCTCCACGCCGCCGAGGGTGGACATTCAGCTTGGAGCGAGTATGAGTCGGGATAAGAAACAGAATGGAAGGAGGACGTATGGAAGTCAGCCCAAACAGCATGGTGGTGTTAGATTCAAACGGAAGTATAATAATGGTGATAGTTAAGGCAGAGAGTCGATGTCAATAGACCATTCTACTGAATTGACCTGATCATGGAAAGCAAAGTAGCCTTGATACCTCTAGCTGACTATCGTCTTGGTCTGTGGTTGATGCAAGGAGCCCCGTTATCTAAGATTAGCTGCTTGGGATAACTTGCACTTCTGAGGTAATCGACCTTTCGCCTTCAAACATTCACTGTGCACCCCATCAGAAACGCTCTTTGAACGAGTATCTGCCCTCAGTTCGGTTTTCAGTCCTCCCCTATTACGTGTCCCGTAAGAGAAGTTGCAAATCTCTCTCATACGCATAGACTTCCACTATCTTCCCTGTAGCGTATTAAGGTGGACATGACCGTACGACAAAGCCCAAATATCGATTTTTTCAAAGTTGGGTGAGGAGCATCATATGGGTGGCTCTTCCGGGATCATCACTCTAACGTCCGGAACGAATCATGTTTCCGGCCCCAGCGAACGCCAACTTCCGAAGCGGGTAAGTTAACACCTGCAACTAAAAAAAGGCTTATATGCGCAGATGTCCAATCGGGATGCCCAACACAAATTCTGGCTGACTCTTCTCGGCCGTAGGACCAGCATTTGTACCAGCCAAGTTCAAGCTCCCAATTGTTTGCATGCAGATCCAGGTCCCAATTTGAAAAGCCTCAGCCAAGATACGAGAGTTGTCCGAGCTTGAGCTTAATCTGTTCAGGTTGTTGACGCAACTTTGCTATTCTGCTCCCTGCCGTTCAAGCTCGGAGATGATTATCTGGCTGCCTCCTACTCTAGATAGTGGGCAGAAATATTCTACCTCGGCTTCTAGAGGTCGTACGTCTGCTCGTCATCAACATGTCTCCCGTTGTCAGGGATGCAGAGAAAGTCAACTCGCATGAACTCCAACCAAGGTCAGGCATTGCTTCATGGTGGGAACATCTATAAGTAAAGCGTCGCCATGACGTTGTATCATGGAACAGTGCCTCTTCGGAAGGCACATATGTCACGTCTCACCATCTATTCAAGCCGGCAAAGATGTTCGAGGAGACGAAAAGATAGATGACAGACCAATCGCGGGCACACATCAGATACCAAATCCATTGACTGTCCCCAACGGCAATGAAGATCCTTTCGAAGGCGCTCAACAAGGCGCCATCATTCTCAATCTGAGAAGCTCGAGGTTTATTCCAAGGGCCTGAGCACAGACATTAATTGACATGCAGGCTCGTGATGTAGAACGATCATCTCACAGAACGGCTGGATGCGCGTTCAAGAACCTCAGTGCCCATGGCTATGGCATTCCAACCGTTTATCAGAAAGATGTTGCGAATATATGGTTGCAAGCTGGCGCTCTTGTCCGAAAGTTGCTTGGCACTGGAAAGTAAAAGATCCAGATCTTACGGAGCTTCGACGGCTTGGTGGAAAGTGGCGAGATGTTGGTTGTACTCGGCCGGCCTGGCAGTGGCTGCTCAACCTTTCTAAAAATAACTTCCGGCGAGACTCATGGTTTCAATGTTGACCCGAAATCAGAAATCAACTATCAAGGTATTTCTGCGCGACAAATGCATCATCAATTTCGTGGTGAAGCCATCTATACGGCCGAAACAGACGTCTATTTCCCACAATTGACAGTGGGCGAAACCTTGTCGTTTGCCGCCAGGGCCAGAGCACCACGGAATCGACCCCTAAACATCTCAGGCGATCAGTACGCCGAGCATATGAAAGATGTCATCATGACCATGCTGGGGCTTAACCATACCATGAATTCAAAAGTTGGTGACGATCTTATTCGGCCGTTAGTGGCGGTGAAAGGAAACGAGTTACTATTGCAGAAGCAGCACTTAGCGGTAGCCCTCTGCATTGTTGGGATAACAGCACGCGAGGACTTGACAGTGCTAATGCGCTTGAATTTGCAAGACCCTTCGATTGGAAACTGAGCTATCTGGCTCCACGGCCTGTGTAGCAATCTACCAGGCATCCCAAGATGCTTATGAGGTAAGAATAGAGCAGCGTCGCTCGGAAAATGCCTAACTTCCAAGTTCCAACGGATCTTCGACAAGGTCATCCTGCTATATGAAGGCCGCGAAATCTATTTTGGGCGTACACAAGATGCTAAAGACTATTTTACTGCGATGGGGTTTCTGTGCCCAAGCCGCCAGACGACCGCCGATTTTCTGACTCCCCTACCAGCCCACTGGAGCGAATAGTCAGACCTGGATTTGAGTACATGGTACCTCGGACCGCAGATGAATTTGCTGCTGCTTGGAAGAAAAGTGCGCATCATGCTCAGCTTATGGTGGACATTGAGGACTACTATGACGAATATCCTGTTGGTGGTGAATCTGTACAGACCTTCGAGAATTCCAGACGAGCTCAGCAAGCGAATATGCGGTAAGTGACACTCCTGAGCTTTCGGATATGGACGACTGATTCGGTTACAGACCAGCCAAGTCGTCATACACGCTATCCATAACCCAGCAGGTCCAATTATGTATGGCTCGAGGTTTTCAGCAGTTGAAAGGAGATGCAAGCATAACTTTGACTCAATTAACTGGGAACTTTATTACGGCGCTTGTCGTTGCGATCATATTTTACAGTTTACTTTCGGACACAGACAGCTTCTACGGCAGAGATGCCCTAATTTTCTTTGGACTACTGTTGAATTATTTTGCGAGCGCTTTGGAGGTGAGCTCCCCGCAAGGCAGCTTGATTCAGTACCGAGCTTTCCACAGATATTGACTCTCTACGCACAACGACCGATCGTCGAAAAGCATGCCAGATATGCTTTATACCACCCATTCGCTGAAGCAGTATCATCGATGATCTGTGATCTACCTTATAAAATTGTCAATGCTATCACCTTCAACCTACCGCTTTATTTTATGGTTAACTTGCGCCGAGAACCTGAGCCTTTCTTCGTTTTTCTGCCTTTTTTTGTCTCAACACTTACGGAGTACCATGTCTACGATATACCGCACAATCCGTGCAGCATCTCGTACTTTAGCGCAGGCCTTGGTGCCGGCTGCGATCATTCTTCTTGCTTTAATCATTTAAGCCGGCTTCATTCTCCCAGTCGGATATATGGGACCCTGGTTCCGTGGAATTAACTACCTCAATCCCATCGCATATGCTTTGGAAAGTTTTGTGCTCAACGAGTTCGCTGGTCGAAGTTATCCATGCTCGACATTTGTGCCACAAGGACCGGGTTATGTGGACATTCGTGGGAGAAATCGTGTGAGAAATCGTGTTTGCTCCGCTGTGGGTGCTACTGCTGGCTCGAATGTGGTCCTTGGAGAAGCCTATTTGAGAGACAGCTTTGGCTTCTTACGAAATCATCTTTGGGGGTGATGCCGCTTGGCTTTTAATTCCAGATTATCACTAATAGCAAGCAGAAACCCTGCAATAATCTTTGCGTTCATGATCTTCTACATGCTCACATACCTCTTCTCGACAGAGTACATCTCAGCTGCAAAATCGAAAGGAGAAATCCTACTCTTTCGCCGAGGCTATGCCCCAGCACATGAACCGGAGGCACAATCTGACATCGAAAAATCAACCGACGCTGGACAAAGTTTGGATCAGGCTATGGACCGGCAAGTCTCCGCCACGATTCAACAACAAACTGCGATCTTCCAGTGGAAGGATATCTGCTATGATATCAACATCAAGAAGGAACCTCGCCGTATCTTGGATCATTTAGATGGCTGGGTCAAGCCAGGGACACTGACTGCTGCTATGGTAAGGATATGACTCATACGTTGTGCAATAGAAATATGCTTATCAGCTATAAGGGCGTTTCTGGAGCAAGAAAAACCTACCCTTCTCGACGTTTTTGCCACCCGGGCGACAGTAGGGGTGGTGTCTGGCGAAGCTTTATTTGATGGGCGTTCGCGAGATGCCTCATTCCAAGGGAAAACTGGGTATGTCCAACAGCAAGACCTTCATCTGAGACATCCACAGTGCGAGAAGGACTCCAGTTCAGCGCCTTGCTACGTCAGCCAGCGAGTACTACCAAACAAGAGAAGCTGGGCTATGTCGAAGAGGTTATTAAATTGCTCGACATGGAGGCATATGCAGACGCCGTTGTTGGCGTACCAGGAGAGTGTATAGCCTACTACTACTACTACCACCACCACCGGCTGCAATGGCTGATAGTGTTAGGGCTCAATGTTGAACAACGTAAGCGACTGACCATAGGCGTGGAACTGGCAGCAAAACCTGAACTTGTTCTGTTCCTTGATGAACCAACCTCCGGCCTTGACAGCCAGACCTCCTGGGCCATTCTTGACCTTCTCGAAAAGCTCACAGCCCATGGTCAAGCCATCTTTTGCACTATGATCAGCCATCAGCCATGCTCTTCCAACGTTTTGACCGTCTCCTCTTCCTTGCTGCTGGCAGCAAACCTGTCTATTTCGGCGAGATCGGCCCATCCTCCTCCACCCTAACAACCGACTTTGAGAGAAATGAGGCAGAGCCATGTCCTCCAGACTCCAATCCTGCAGAATGGATGATCGAAGTCATCGGCGCCGCCCCCGACACAACCAGCTCCATCAACTGGACAGAAGTCTGGGACAGCAGCGCCGAAAAGCCATCCATCACGCTGGACTTGACCGTATGAAAGCACAACTGTCCTCTCTCCCTCAGACTCTCCAACCATCACCATCCAAAGATGACTCGACCTACCGGCCCTTCGCCGCCCCCTTCCACACTCACATCCGCCTCTACCTCATCCGAATCTTCACACCAATACTGGCGCACACCAACCTACATCTACAGCAAACTGCTCCTCTGCATCCTAACCGGCCTCTTCATCAGCCTCTCCTTCCTCTACTTCAACAACAGCTTTTACTCCCACCCTCCAAGGCCTCCAAAACCAAAATGCTGGGAATCTTCATGCTCATGACCATCTTCGGCAACATCGTGCAACAAAATCTTCCCCAACTACCTCGCGCGCAACGTTCGCTGTTCGAGGCCCGCAAACGCCAAAGCAAGATCTACAGCTGGCCTGCCTTTTTACTTTCCAACATCCTCGTCGAACTGCCCTGGAATACGTTCCTGGCGCACGTGGCGGCGAGCGTCGAGCCGCGTGTCTGGTGGCGCGATTTCGGGATCGTATTGACATTCTCCGTCTTCAATGTATGCGCCGCGCTGCTGTTCTACTGGTTGGCGAGGGGGGTGCCCAAGACGAAAGACTCCCACGGAGAAGGGGAAGGGGAGGGAAGGGCGGGAAGGGTGAGAAGGGGGAAAGGGAGAGGGAGAGCTCAGGACATGCCTACCTAGTTAGTGGATGGCGTATCTGAAGTATCTGACTCATCACGATCGAGAGACCTACCGTCAGGATTAACTAGTAGTGCAAGCTCTTTCTTAAGAAGTTGAATAGATAGGGTAGGAAGGTAGTTAGTTGGTGATCAATACTCATATTCGATATCTCCTCCAGTTCAGATCTCATCGATTGGGGAAGGGTCGATGAATCATAAGCAACCCAACAGCACAGAAGAGAAAGGAGGAAAACTTCAAGACAGACATCCTCGATGACGATATCTACACATCCGTCTGGATAAAGTTCAGACGAGACAAGAGCTGCTAGACATTTGGCCGGGATTTTAAGGCACAAGATCATTCGGAATTGGTAGGTGCATCATGTTCACTATCCTACATCGATGCAAATCTACATCCATGAAAATTGACCAGCCTCGCGAGACATATGTGGAAATAGGAGTGAAGTTTTATGGCTAAGCTCTGAGCATGTCATTAGTCGAATTTCCGAGACTGATTTGTCTAAGAACCTGTGATGCGCAAGACTCGAGATTGAGGCACAATCATGATGCTCCTTTCCACTGCATATCTCCATTGGCGCTTCGTAGAACCTCACCACTTGCGAGAACCTTCGTGAAAACACCTTGCCTGTACTCCTGTCCCCGTTGAATCGGAAAGTTTCAGCCTGTTCAGATTCTTGAGCATCCTTAGACGAAGAAGTCCTGAGGAAGTGACACAAGCGCGGCAACAACACCAACCCCACCGACCACCGCACCGGCTAGAGCTGTAGCAGCCAACGTGGCGAAGCTGGTTCTTCCAGTCTCATTCCCGGTTCTCGCACGCTTCGCTGGACGCTCCTCCTCGTTACCAGTAACGGATGGCACAGCCTGGAGGGCTTTAACCTGCGTCATGCTCGCGATTTTGGATTGTGAGCGGCAGGCAGGCGGTTCTGCAGCTTCGATTTGCGCAACATGGTTTTGGGTCGTAGATGTCGATTCTGGAACGGAACTACTGGTCATGTCGTCTGCCTTTCGTTTGAGTTTGTTGTCGTTCTGAGATGGCATAGGTTCATCCGCGACACGCTCGACAATGCTGTCGATGGATACCTTAGCGGTGGGTTTAGACGCATTCTCTGGGACAATAGCTACTGCTGTTAGAGCATTCATTGAAGAATTCGGCTTAAAGATTGGTGGTGGTTGCCATGGTGGCTGGGGCAAGGTACAGCTCGGTCGATTAATTTGCTTCGTGCCGGGAAAGCTTTGAGCGTCAAGCATAGACATTTGTGACTGGTAGGCGCGGAGAGGATCAGATGGTACTTGCCCCGGGGCACAGCTGGCACCATAGGAATATGGAAACTCGCCAAATCGTTCATCGTACGGAGCGTGCGACCTGCCATCAAATGTGCATGGCCAAGCTGAGCTGTAGGCTGAAGCCATCGGAGTCGACCACTGCTGGGAATTGGTGTATGGGTATTGACCGCCTGGGACGCCCGAGTTATGGGTCGGAAATTCACAAGGTTTTGCCATGGCTGCATCCGATGGACTGGGGGCTCGATTCAGAGTATTGGCAGGCAGACTGAGGCGTGTGGCGTGCATAGTAAAGTTACCGGGACGCATATTGTACGGAATTGCCTCGGGCTGAGTTGTCGTTGTCTCATAATCACCACAGGTATCCTTTGGCATTGACTCTTTGGTGCCAAATGTCTTGTTCGGAAAGTGGTCAAAAATATCCTCGTCGCGTTCCATCCCGATGTCATCAGAGAAGTCAGAACGACTGCTCTCACTATCGGTCGAATCTTCTTCAGCACGAGTTGTTTTTGTTCCATGGTCCTCCGCGATCAACAAAGCTTCTTCATCAGAGTCGCTGCCATAGTCCGTCACAGCATCATGCCCCTGTTCATCCTCGCTATCATCGACCATGAGAGCAGGTGAGTTGGGGTCATCAGAGTCAGATTCGCTCTGTGTGAGATCCTCATCCACCAGTGTGGTTCCCTTGTCTAGATCAGTCGGTTGACTTGCCACATGGCTACTTCCATAACCACTGGGTTTTGCGTTAGGGTAGTGGTTGGACTCTTTGCTCAGAGAACTGGTCGGAGGACTGCTGTTGTTGGTAGGTGATTGCTGGTCTGAGGACATTGAACTCCCGAAAGAGGAGGTATTATGCTTGTTGAGGTTTATTGCCCATTTGTCCGCCTGCCGCTCAGCCTCGCTGAGTCCTGAAGGGCCTGCGGCTGCAGGTGACATTTGCAAAGCTGGAGAAGACGGATAGGCCTTGCCGTCCATTGACCTAGGCAATGGACTTGAAGCGGAGCTGGGAAGAGGCGGCAGAGGGCTAGTGGGTGAGTAAGCCGTTAGTCGCCCTGTGTCTTTGGACATTGCCTCTTCAATGCAAGAATGATCGATAGGCGAATCGGCGAGGTCAATTATCTGAGTAGGAACAACAACTTCGAGCTTGGGTTTGAGGACTGTTTCTTGTACGAAGGAGATATCAGCGTCTTCCCCATCTTCCTCGTCGTCATAGTCTGGCACATGGAAAGTGTTTGGTGGAAGTTCGACCTGAGACGTTCCTGGCGCTGCTTGTGGCTGTCCAAAGCTATAAAATGGCGTCAACCAGAGACCAGCAACAATCATAGGGGAGATATACCTCTCAGCAACCCACGAGTATCGCACGACGACATGGAGCGGAGGGAACGACTCTGGTATTGCCAAAATGTTAGACATTGTCTCCCATTCAAGCTTGTTCCTTGATGGTATCCCCCGGATAGGCTGGCGGCAAGAAAATGGTGCAGGTGAACCGTTGACGAAGCACGTACCTGGTCCTCGAGTCACCACGTTACCAAATTTCACAAGATCTTCATCGTACAGACGATGGCGTTCACGTGCTACAACCCTCTGATCCTCTACGTACGTTCCGTGCATAGATCCCACATCTTCGATGTAGACGCACTGAGCAAATGTCAGCAGCTGTAAGCTGGAGTAGGAGCTGTTGGCATACCCGATCATCTGGATCCGCTTTGAGAACTGCATGCTCTCTGGACATAACACGAGAATCAAACCAGGCATTGTAGCTGGCCGGAAAGAGTTCTCTATTCCCTGACTTGGAGCCTCGGCCGATGCGGATAGCGTAGGTGGGGCTTCTCAGGATGAAGTTGCGTGTTGGATGTGGATCCTCGGAGTTGAGAATTTGGAGCTCAACAGAGACTGTGTTAAGAGAATCATCAGCGCATGCTCTTCGAGTAAAAGAGCATATATTATAGCGTTGGATGACCCAGTAGGTTGGTGTGCTTGAGGGTCGAGTCATGCTGTTCCGTGATGGCAGGGTGTGGATGACTTACGGTTCCTTCTAGGCTGAGCCATGATATTGTGAAGCTGATGAACGGTATGAAACTGAGAATGACTTGAGGAGCTGGGTTTCATGAAATGGAAGATGATGAGTAGGCAGCTTGGTTGTTGCTGGCCTTGGACACGGAAGGCTGCGGTGAAAGTGGAGGGGTAAGCTGCAAGGCGCTGCGGCCTTACAAGCGCGGCCTTACAAGCACGTCAGCTTGCCAGTAGTCTTGACTCCTAAAGTATTCCTAAGGTATTCCTAAGGTATTGCCAGAGATTGTAAGAGTAGCTAAAGAGGGCGTCAAAGGATGAGACTCACCCAGCACAGAGGATGAGAGATGATTGAACGAGGTCAAGTGAGAACAACTGAATGGACGACAGCAGGAGTGAGGTGGGGGTGAGTATCAAGGGTGTGAGTGGTGGAGTGCAAGGTGAAGCTAAACTGAGTGGCTGCCCTGGCAGTGGTGTGTGCAGTTGATTGGTGCCACTGGTGCCTAAACAATAATGCATATGCTACTCGTTGCCTTACTTGCGGACTACAAGCAATGACCACTGCTGCTAGGGCATGTAGAGGTGCGGTGATACACGACAGGCTGGAAGGATTTCCACACCCCATGCATCTGATTACCTGTGTCGGTGTCCGAAAAGGTTCTAGTTACGTCAGATTGGGTACAGGAAGTAGGCCATGCCATATTATACGTTCCATCCTTCTTCGACGATCCTATCCGTCCATCTATGTTACACGGGCCATCTTGTGCAAGATATGGCCATGATGCACCGGCGCTTTTGATGACCGAGAACATGAGCAGCAATCACTAGCATTAAGTACAGGTAGAATCGAAGACTCGGAGGTAAAAGCCTTGAAAGGGGAGAAAGAGAGTAGAGTGGGAGGGAGGTCGCTTCTGCAGTGCTATGACAATGGTAGGGACTCTTTGCCTGTATTCAGCCTTGTTCTTTCATCTCATTGGCATCCCGGGTCCAGCGGTGCCCATTTGCTGTAGTCGTTGAGACAGTTGAGGATATTTCTCCGACACCTCTAGCTGGGTGCGCGTGGCCTCTGCATAGGACAGAGCGTTCACAATCTCTCCTTCCGTTCTGGACAGCTCAGCAGCCCTCTCGAAGTATTTAAGTGCATCGGTGACCTTGCCTTGTTGTAACAGCAGCTGGGCCATAGTAGCAACAGCAATGTCACACTCAGGGTCAACTGTTAAATGGTCAGCCGTGCGATGAAGTAGAATATTTCAATAGAAAAATGCTTACTGATCAGTGCTTTCTGGCACAAGCTCTCCGCCTCCTGAAAGTCTTGTTTCCATTGAAACAAGGCTAGAGCCTTGTTGATCAGTGGCAAAACGTTCATGCTCATTGGCTTGCTCTGCTTCTCCATGTCCACTGCAGTTTCGAATTTTTCAATTGCCTCTTGGTACTTCTGCTGGTCAAGTAGAAGCTCTCCATAGTAATTGTACACGTCAGGAGTTTTGTCGAACTTCTTGATCGTTCTTCGAAAGGTTGCCATGGAAGAAGCCACCGAGCCCATCTTATACTGTGTCACACCAAGCTGAATGTGGGAGAAGATGAAGGCTGGGTCTAGATCGATTGATTTTTGATAATCCTTGGCTGCTTCCGGGAATTCGCCTAGAATGAAGTGCAGCTGAGCTCGATGGTAGAAGATGTCGGGATCGTCTTTGTTTTGAGCTGTTGCCTGCTCAAAGTCGTCTGCCGCTGCCTCCCGATTGCTCATCTCCAGATGCATGCTCGCTCTTTTGATGAGGCTTTGGGTGAGCGAGGGTTTCAGAGTAACGCTCTTGGTTAAGTCCTCCAGAGCCTGCGTGGTGTCGCCTTCTAGATATCTGAAAGTAGCGCGCATGTTGAGTCCAAAAGCTTCATGTTGACCGAGATCATTGAGCTCAATCGCTTTTTCGAATGATTTCGCTGCCTCCTCGTAGCCTTCACCGGTTTTCTTATCCAATGCAATAAGACCCCTCTGTAGCTGCCCTAGTCCAGTATTCTCATCCAACTGAACAGACTCTTCCAGCCCAGCAGGAGGAGGTTGAGGACGGAAGCTTTGTAGGTAATTGGTCACGAATGTAGGACTGGGTAGCTTTCTGCCCTTTGCCTCTAGGATAGCCTTTCCTTTCTTCTCGGCGACCTTTTTCAGCAGCCGTTCAACACTCTGTGCGCTTTGTTCGTTTTTGAAGCCATCGATGATGCAGCTGGCCGTATAGTCGAGTAATGCTTCACTATACATGCCGAGGTGCTCGTAAGCATGCGCTCGCCTGTTCAATGCTTTCACATATTCTGCATCCATCGCAATGGCAGCACTCGTATCTTCGACCACCTTATCCCAGTCACTGAGGACGTTGTAGCAGGCCGCTCTATTAGAGTAGTAGACGGGGTCAGGCTTGCAGAGGATCGCTTTGCCATATAGTTCAATTGCTTTGTTGTAATCTTTCGATCCATAGGCCTTGTTGCCTGCAGCCTTCAATTTTGCCGCATATGATTTGCGATCCTGTGCACGTCAGTGGAAGGATATTGGGATAGTGCTGAGAAATGCTACCTCTTGGGAGAAGCTATCGACCGTCGTCTCGTCTATCTGTGGGAGGTCGTCTTCCGCTTCTACTGAGGCTGCCTTTGGAGCTGGCATCGCTGTCCCTGCAAAGATCAGCAGGCATGATCAGAGCAACGTGTGTTATCATACCAGCTTCTTCATCTTTGATACTAGGAGATGCACTCTTGCCATCCTCTGCTGCTTTTTTCTCTTTCCGTCGTTCTTTCTTGCTCTTTCGTTTCTCGTCTGAAATGGATGCGCCTTTGATGTTCTTTCTCGAGTCTGAAAGATAATATACAATTCCAGCTCCGGTGATAACCACAACCGTGCCAGCTATGGTGTAAACTATGGCCTTGTTTTCAGTTGCCCAAGTGCTTACACGGTCCCATAGTGATGATGATGACGATGGCGGTGATCCAGACGGTGGTGCGAGTTGTACTGGAATGGGCACAGTGGACATTGTGAGAGGGAGCAGGAATAGAGGAACAAGAAAAGCAATCGAGACCGGTAAGAGGCTGTGACAGGCGCGTCGCGCAACAATGAGAGATGCTCCCTGTGATGATTGCAGCAGAAGTCAATCTCCAAGATTTCTTCCCAGCTATCGAGTACGCTGCTCCCTTTCTAACCAATCAAAGCGCGGCAGCCAGAGCTCCGCATCACCTCCGCAGTATAGTTGTGATCATGATTTCTGCATCAAATTCGTGTTCACATGCAAAAGTAGTATGGAATGGCAGCGTTAAATCTTTCCATGTAGTCTATTTGCTCCTCAACATCCAACGATGTACGCAGAAAATCACTAGCTTATCCCCTGTCGATGTCTCCTCATGTTACGTGTTTACAACCACCATCTTTCTATCACAGAGCTTCCTACTTTAGTCCCATGCGCTGACCATGGAAAAGGCGGAAAAGGCAGAAGATCCTGTACTCAGGGTTTCTTCTTCTACGAGCTTCTACATCTTCACTTCTTATCTCTGGAGAAATCATGTTGAGAGCACGAATCACGGTGGCGAACATTATTTTCTACCCTATCATCGTGACCGTCTTGTCTCAGCAGCAGAAGCCTTTGGTTGGACTGGTGTTACGACCTTTATAGGTGGTGATGGAGGCATGAAGAGACTTTCAGGCATTGTGGTGGACCATCTCAAGACTGTCTGTGAAGAGGAACCTTCCTGCGCGATGAGGAAGATAAAAATCTGCGTCTACAAAGATAGCCGTTTCCACATCGAAACCGCCGCCATAACACCGACAGATTCCTCTAATGTATTTTACTTGCCTACTAATCTTAACGAAGTGGCTACTTTAAATTGTCGTTGCCTCGTTAAGCTGGATTTGGAATCCACTCCTACGTCACTCTTTACTTCTCACAAGACTTCAGAGCGTATTCCCTATGACCGAGCGCGAGGAGCAGCAGACATTGCCCACAAACCACCCACTACCGCAGAGGTCCTTCTGTTCAATCCTCGTGGGGAGATTACGGAGTGCAGCGTCTCAACGCCATATTTTCAACGTCATGGTCGCTGGGTAACACCATCCTTGTCCAGCGGAGGTAATGCAGGCGTGACTCGTCGCCTGGCTCTGCAAAATGGTCTCTGCGAGGAGCAAACTGTTTTCGTGGAGAGTCTCCGCCACCAGGAAATCATCTGGATCAGCAATGGAGTTCGTGGTTTCATTCCGGCGACCTTGCTCCTGGAACCTCTGAGTTGACTGGGTAGGTTAACATCCTCATTCAATTACTGAAGGAACTTGTGGTCCTCTACCAGCCATACTGCGTGTTTCTCGGCTCTAGCCTACCTTGAAAAGCTGATTCATAAGCTCAACAGGCGGTGATGAGGGGCTTCATCCTGTCTCGTCTACACTGACCTAATTAGTTTTTCTAACTTCACTTATCTTCCTCCCAATCCCCCATTCTTTTGAACTTTCGAATTCACTTTCATCTACAAGTAGTCCTCACCGGACTACTACGTCCCAGCACGCTCACTCATTCTAGAGCAATTGAGTGGTACCAAGCAAGAATACGGTATTGAAGTCTGAATCCACATCCACTCTACCATCACGTCAAAATGTCTGCAATCTCGACAGTCTCGGAGAGCTTTCAGATTACGACGATCGTCCGCTATGAATCAGGTCTTCTAGCCTCTCAGACATCTCAGACTTGCATTGCGGACAAGTTCATGACAATAGATGATTTCTATCTTCTCGCTTCTCATCAAGACAAGCTCATGAATGCTGCCAAACACTTTAATTGGCCGGTCCAGCTGATAGAGCTCTATTCGGGTACCCGAGGCCTACAAATCTTGTTTGCAAAGCTTCTACTCCATATTCATGAAGACAGAAAGGGTGATGCACCGCTCCAAGTCCTTGTTGCCTTGGCCAAAGATGGAACATTGAGCATCCGCTCCTCCCCAGCTCTCATGCCTGGACTGCTGTTTGCAACGGATCTGTTCGACAGGAAGAGGGAACCAAACCTCGGGGACTCTGGTGGTTTGTACAAGAGGGTTCCAGTTCGAGTTTTGATTGATGATCAAATTTCCCTCTCATTCGGTACTGTTTGGTCTTCTTCAGTTCGAAATTCAAGCTTCGGTAAGGCTTCAACAACTCATGAGAGCCTTATTGTTAGCCGGTACAGCGAAGTACTTCAAGGACAGTTTACAACGCCATACTTCCTCCGAAATGGTGCCTGGATCACACCAGCTTACTCAGGGGTAGTCGCTAACAGCGTAACCAGAAGGTACGCGCTCGAGAATGGGCTCTGCAAAGAAGGTATCGTTCTGAAATCTAGCCTAAAGAATGGCGAAGATTGCTGGCTTAGTGATGGAGTCAGGGGATTCTTCCAGGGCACAATATGCCTTGATCCCTCCACTTTGCATGGAAGCAGGCCCGAGGCACACTCTAACCGTGATAGGGCAATTCCCAAGCGGGACGAAAAGATCAGATCCGAGGGCGAACTGTCAAGGTAAGCAATTTCTAGAAGGCCAAGAGTCCGGTTTGATAGCTGACGAGTATGGGAATTCAGCACTGAAAGTGCTGGCAACCATTTTGATGACGAAGATGATGACGAACTTCAAATCATCCCCAATCCTTTCACCTCCAGCGACAACTTTCAGGCAGTCAAAAGACCCAATCCCTTTGTCTCATCGTCACCTTCACCGCCACTTAGACGCTCCAAACGTGGCCAACCAGGCTTTACCCCCCTTCTTCTAAAAGACAAAGACGACACTCTTCTGTGCGATGGTTACAAGGCCGTACCCAATCCAGAACACAGAGGCCGGATTCTTCGTCCTCGCCCTCTTCGTCCATCGAGGCCCGCTTAACGATACATATTAGCTTCCGACTCGAGCTTTCAGGGTCCAGCTTCACCCTCAATTCAAGGGCGACATGGCCCGCATCGTGACAAGCATTTTTCAGCCAGCAGTTGTACCCTCTAATATGCTGGGGGAAGTCTCCGTTGCGGCAGCATTATCATGAGCCTAATTAGTAAGAGCTGCGTGCTCGACAGCAAACCTACTGTTGCTCATTTTAATGGAGAACACGGATCGATGGAGTCGCAGTCATGGCTCGAGGTCGGCTTTTACATTGAACGCGCTTCTAAACGTGCTGCCGTCCATGCAAGCTGGCTTGTTGCATTTGTAGCTCACTAGGTCAGGATACATCTATGGATTTAATTTACGACCCGTTCAGCAACGCTTGCAAGCTAGATAGCAGATTTAATGACCAGCATTAGCTGGCGTTTCCTGAATCATGAGTCTGGCATGCCACAATTGTCCTCCGCAGCTTGCATACCAAACCTCACCATATTCTTGTCTATCCATTAGGACATTTCCTGCTTAGCGTTCAGCAATTGGAATGCTCCAGAGTGCAGAAATCGTTTTTCATATCATTCTTCGTCCCGTCTCGCCGTGGTGTGAAGAAATTCCATCACTTTCGTGACTCATGGTCTAATTTCGCCAAGCCCCCTTGATCCCTTCTCCGGCCGGCTCACATACTACTGGTATGACAAGTATGCGTCAACGAACATCAAGCAACAACACCATAAGTCGTGCGCGCGCAGCACACATGGTTACTTAATTTTTCAATTCTCCATTTGGCTTCCCGCTTTTCTCCTTCTCCTTCTGAGCTCCTTTCTTCTCCACCACCTCCGTAGGCACCGGATTTGGATTCCCACCCCACGTCAACCCCCTAACAGCCATAAACTCCCCCCTCATCTCCTCTGTGACCTTCTTCCTCCTCTCCTGAAACCCAGCCACATACTCTTGCAGATACTTGATACAAATCCCTTTCAGCTCGCCCGTCAACATCTCCCCTTTTTCGTAGGCATGCCTGATCTGCTCCAACTCGTTATCATCCTCCATGAAGAAGGTAAGATACTGGAATGCCACATCATATTTTGTCCGTCCACCCAGTTCCCTCTGTTTCTCTGCCGTGTCCTGCCCACCAGAGAACGCGTATTTATTGATTTTATTTTTGATCTGGTTCGGTGTGTCGGTCAGGAAAATGGCGGATATGTCTACCGATGCAGACATTTTCGATCCCGGGCCCTGGAGTGCCGGGAGGAAGATGGAGTGGATGAGGGAAGGTTTCTTGTATTTCATCTTCTCGGCGTGTTCGCGGCATTGGCGGAAATAAGGGTCTTGGTCTATGGCGCAGGGAATAAGGCAGGGTATCGATCGCGTCTTGAGCGGGTCAGAACCAAAGATATGCGGGAACGAAGTTGCGAAGCTGGTGGCGGATTGAGTGGCGCAGAAGTGGAATTCGCCGACGTTGTTGCTGTCGGTGAAGCCGAAGGTGGCGCGGACGGAATTGATGGTGATGCGTTTGGCCATGCGACAGATATTTTCGTAAAAGGCGCCTGACACATAGTCGAAGTCAGAGAAGATAAAGGTTTTAGCCGGGTCGAAGCCGATGCCGATGATGTCTTTGGCGTTTTCGGTGGTGAAGCGTTTGGAGTCTGAGATTTCGAGCTTCGGGCTGTGCATGTACTTTTCGTCGTCGGTGAGCATTATAACAAGGGGAACGTCGAAGACATCTTGGAGCCATCTACGTAAGATTGGACAGTTAGAAACAGGAGGAAAATCCTACTGGCTTGGTCATACTTTGTAAACTCGAAGGGTATTGCATGTCCAACATGTAATGAACCGCTACTCGGTCCTCTCCCCGTATAAAGATAAAACGGTTGGCCCTTTTCATGTCGATCCAATATTTTTTCAAGGTCTCGATGACTGAATACAATCCCCCTTCTCAGAAAGCGATGCGGCTTCTTGCCTGTGACTTTTTCGAAACGCTCAAGGAGGGTTGGAGATATTGGCGTTGCGCCGAACTGCTGTATCAATTTGGTATAGTCGACAGGTAACAGCTTTCCGGTTTCATCAACACCTCCAGAGACATCAAAAGGCGTTATTCGTTGTTCAACAGCATGAGACGAAGGAGCTTGTTCGGCAAGGGAAAGGGTGGTGAGCGCAGGCGGCTGGCCTGGCTCGTCGGCCATAGTCGAGATCGAAGCTGGCAATATCAAGACACGATTCTAGCCTGATTCAACCTTGACTTAGGATGTTGTCAAGACATCAGGCACAATACAATGCGCCCTTACTTGATAACGTGACTCCCATCTTTCATGTGCTCTATTCTGGTGGTTTTTGGAGCTCACTTTGAGATGACAGCCAAGACTCCACAGTTAGCCTTGCCTAATTGAGCTAAAGCTTATAGTGCGTGTGGAGCTTCAAGTTCGGTGGCAAAAGGATCATTCCCGCAATCCTCCCCAATGCGAAGCTGCACACTCCAATAGAATGAAGTTCTTCGAGAACTCCTCAAGCTATGATTACTCGTTCCCTGCTGTGACGCTTGCTTATTTTCTTCGATATCCAAATCCCTACTCGAAACATGTCCTCAGCACTGATGTCATTGATCGCTATGTGGATCCTTCAACGAAACGACTTCACACGACTCGCCTGCACCTCAAGCGATCCAAGGTGCCATCTGCCATGGCAAAACTTCTGCCAGCGGGCCTGACAGGCCCAGGAGGAGCACAGCAAAGTTATGTAGTCGAGAAAAGTACCATAGACGTCCGGGAAGGCTGGATGGAAACCGAATCGCGCAACATGGAGTGGACCGGGATTTTGAGCGTCATTGAGCGACAGACCTACAGGCGGCAGCCGCTACCCATTGAAACCTGGCGTGACAAGTTAGCTGCTAGTGATGAAGACACAACTCTCGGCGGCGGAGAAAGGGAGTGGACTTCATGCAAAACCGTCGTGTCCTTCAAGTCTCGGCTAGGACAGGCCATAAAGAAAAATGCCGAAGCCATGGCAAATGCAAACGAGGACGAGACCCCACGACAAGGCTTCTTCGCATCATGGTCAACTGCTGGTATACAAAGAACCATTGAGCTCGTTGGTGTGAAGCGGTCCAAAACTGCAATCATGAACGGCAAGAATGGGATGAATGTGGTGCTAGAAAGGCTTCGGAGTGGTGGGGTGATGGGTGTGCTTGATGGTATGAGAAACGATCGCTTGGAAATGTTGGGAGTTCAAGAGGGACAGTGGAAGAGAGCTTGGATTAGTGGAAACCAAGGGGGAGATCCAGACCCCTCACCACCAGACTTGAATTCTGAGCACCTGGACCATGACAGGTGAGGAAGACATAGGCTTCAGGGTATGTGTTGTTAGCTGGGAGCTCATTTAGCGAGGCGCTGGGCAGGCGTTATGGCATGAGCAGAAACCATTGATTGGGAGTATGGCGACGATGCCAGTTGTGGCAGTTCAGTGTGTATATGCTGTTGTTTGCTCTGGTGCAGTGGTCGAGATTCATCACAAGAAATCTTCTATCTTCTTATCATGTTTTATACGACAACTTCAATTGTTGTTAGCTGGGCCACTCCTGCCAGTTCATCCACCACGGGGAACCTCCCCGGAAAAAACTTGGCATCCACAAAATACCAATTGGATTTTGTTCACCTTCAACATGACGCTGTTCTGTTCATTGTCCAACATACTGCCAGCAAGTGTTTCCATTTCTTACACTGCAAAAGTCCGGTATTTATCGAACACCCGTGCTTTGCCAGAAAGCTTTTTACCATTTCTGCCAAGATTCTCTTCACTTCACCATCTTTTAAAACACTTCCTTTGCTATCTCGCTGCTGGTCTTCCGCTCTACCTTTACCGCTTCTTCCATCCTCCATCCGTCTCTCAGGAGCTCTTGTTCTACTCGCCGCGCCGCTCGCTACCTTGCAACCCCAGCTTTCGCCACTCGTTTCGAAAGCAACGGTCAAAGTTTCTGCTCGCTACCACCACCATGCATTTTTTTACCTTCATTACTCTAGTGGCTGTGCTTGTCATCAACCTACTCTGCACAGCTCCGGCCGCCGCATCACGGTCTCATCAGCGTGCGCACGATCTTGACACGGTGAAGCCAATCTCAGAATTAGGATGGACCGTACCACTTCTCTCAGGTTAGACTTACCGCAAGCTTACACTGAGAATCTCATGTCAGGCTGACTATATTGTCAGGCACATACGCGCTTCCTCCTCCTGCCGCGGACAAGACGTTGAAGTATCTCACTCTTGGTCGGGGCATCATGACCTATGGATGCAATGGCAACACACCTGGGAATGACCAACCGGTCTACCTTTACCAAAATACCGATCTTTATGACGTTACGCCCCTAGCTCAAAACCTCCCAGACGAAGCTGCTCTGCACTCGCTTGTTCCACATTTCTGTGAGTACGACTATGCCGAACTGAGAAACACATCGATGCACTGTGTTGGGCGAATTTACAATCAGTCCGACCATACCATTGTCAACCTCTTCGGCTTCAACGTTCCAGAGTTCACTATTGAAGTTGACCAGGTCATACCATCTCCAGGTGGCCAGACAGTAGATGGCTACTGGGACCATTGCACTACTATTGACAAAGAGTGGGAGATGTACCGCGTGGAGACGGCAGGTGGAGCTACGCCAACCACCTGTAAAGGGCATGAGAACTCAACCATTAGTGTTGCATATGCAGCTGAGTACTGGTTCTACCATTGTTAGAAACGACATGCAAAAGGAGTGCCACTGGACAATCCCTTGGGAAGTGGTCAAGATGCGGTTTGGTCAAATGGTATTCAAAAGCTTTATTGTTTTCGGATGCGAAAGATTTGACATAATCGATCGTAATGGGTGGAAGTTGGAGTTCAAATAGAACGATCACAATCAGAAGGACAGATGATGGCCAGCAAACGAGGATTTGCTTGCAGAGCTTTCAGAAGATCAAAGGAAATCGAAAGAGCTAGAATGTCTACCATAACGTATGACGGTTAAGCAACAGGGTAATCCATTGACCATGCTTCCTTCATTTTTGCATCTTGTCTCTTGCACTGTAAGACTATGGCTGTTAACCATACTGAAAGTGCTATGGCACTAAAATGGGTGGTCTTGGCTATTGTCTTCAATTTAATCAACATGATTGCTAAGTTACTAGCAAGGGACATAAAATACTACCAAGGTCTAAAGGTCTACTAATGATATATCGGCCTCCGCTACTCAATTTTCTAACTTTTTAGGTCTTACTCAACAAATCAATCAACCTCAGACACAATTAAACTGGACAGTTTCAGGGCTCATCATGGAAAATTACGAAACAGACATCACTGCTCGTCAGGGCGAACAACAGTATTTTCTCAAGTTGACAAGTTCTGTACAACCGCTGATGTGAACCTTATGGAATTTTCAGTACATCTTCGATGTCCCTAAATAGCGGGTGCCACATTGTTCTTTGAGTGTGAGCCACGTCAGATTGAGCTTTCGGTACCAAAGGGAGTCCCAGCAACTAAACAAGTTCGATAGTTTACCACGCGAAATCACGCCTCAATTATTCATGAAGATGCCCACCGTTTTATGCTTGTTATTCGCCTGTGACGATTCTCACGAGACCCTACTTCTGGTATCCTGCTGTACGAATGGAGTATACCAAGGGGACAACTCTAGCCAGGTTTCCCAGCCGAAACGTTGAAATTGAGGGAGACACAACAGATTCTGTGAGAATGGGGAGACTTTCGGCAGCACCCTGGTACGAGCGTGCCATGGCTAAGATTTGGTGGCTGCTGCATGAGATCTTCTCAGCATTTGCTTTGGGATTACAAATAGGCTCCCGTCCGTCGAAGATTCCCCAGTATCAACAGGCGATTTAAAGGGATCATTGGAGCGAAGTTCTGTATGGGCTTTGAAAAGTGATAGGAGTCAGTCTGAGACGATCTACAATCCCCTCACATTTTCGGAGCCTAGGCTGATGAAGTACGCTTTTCTACTGTCGATACTAGCAGACTATGATTACCCAGAAGCTGATCGAGATTCTCTCAGGCATAGTTGGGAGTCGATTGAGAAATCAGATGCATCACCCGCTTACTAAGCATGACCTCATATCCACCTCAAGTCGTCATAAGTAGAAAACGTTGTGTGCCCGAGGACATCGAGAGCTACATTGCACACAAAGTTCTACAAATACAACAATTCTTCACCAGATCCTACGAACTACAGTTTCCAATTCTTCATCAGGCCTAATTACATCATCTTCCAAAATGTCTCAAGACTACTCCGGCGAAGACCCCATGGTCCAAGCCAAACGAGCAGAACGAGATCTCAACTCCCACGAAGCCAAAACAGGCCATGAACAATCCAGTACTGGTATTCAATGCTAATCCGACTCGTTTCCCCTCACCTAACCCTCAAAAAGCTAATGATACTATCATCACCAACAGCAACAGAATCCGGCGTCGACGCAAGCGCAGAACATAAGTTCCCTGGCTCCAAAGTAAGCTACGGCTCTGCAGCCAGCGGCGCCGGCGATAACCGCGAGATCCCGTCTGAAGAAGGAGGCGCACAGCAAAGAGGTACGGGCCGGGTGACCAAGGCAGGGGATTTTGATCAGGGAGAGGCAGGGGAAGGGCCGGAAGATGTAGCGACACAGCGAGAGCAGGATAATTCGGGCAGTGATGACGTGAGAGCAAACGTGGGGAAATGAGTGTATGGAGAAGCAGATGGAGACGAAGAAGAAGCAGGGAGATGAGGTTGAAATTGGGAGGGGGCGGTTATCGCACTGAAATGAGGATGTGAGCAGACGGACGGGGCTACGAGGTAACAAGCTACACAAATAGCGGAATCAGATACCTAGCCTGCCCAACTGCTGTCTTTTTCAACGACGGGCTCAGTGGCATAAGAGAGCCGACAGAGCAAGCCTCAACGAGAAGCCAAAAGCTCTGTTGCCCAACTACTATCGTATCTGCGAACATGACTATGGATCAAGACTACCAAAAAGTGTGCCTACAGGAGGACGGACCCATATATTCATGTACAGACACCACTCTTCAAGCAGCATACATATATCCTTCGTCTCAACTGCTTTATTTCGGCAAATCACTTCCAACTATCTCTACCTCATAACATAGCTAACACCGCCCGCCTCCCCCCTCCCGACACCATCCAAGACAGAGCTGCCGACACAATATAACTTCACTAGTAACATACGTCACACCGATCTTTGGAACCATTTCTAACATCATGCCAATCGATATGCTCAGCTTTGAGACCATACAGGCCCAGAAACCTCCCATCACAGTTATAGTCTATATTGATCCGACAAAGGGAAAGCCGCGGCTGGAGCACGTTTCTACATCGCTTGCAGCAAAACAAAGCTTGTCAAGCAAGGTTGTACCGCTGATGGCTTGAAGTTGTTCGACAAAATTTGGGACTCTCCCTCTCCCTCTCCCTCTCCCTCTCCCTTCCTCCTCTCCATGCGGTATAGGCATAGCCAGGTCATCCTCGCAATATTCCATCCACTCAACCTCCATATCCGCAGACATCATAAGCGTAAGGCTTTGCATAGTGCGCCAAACTCTTGCAGCAGATCACGGGTGTGAAAAGACAGACCAATTCGTCCCGATTTTGAGGGAAAGTAGGATAAAATTTAATAAGGTTGCTTGCCCAAGTGTCTCCAACTCTATCATTGGTGGAAGCACTTCACCAACCATCTACTCGCCTCAATTTCAAGTGCAATCCACCTTCAAATTTGGTGGTCACTCCTATCTCGATACGGGCTTCGTCTGGGTTCGGGTTCACTGTTTCTCCCGTCCCGACAAATTCCACGTTATATCTTCCCACCAACGCAGCTATCATCACCAACATTTCCGCCCTGGCAAATCTCTCTCCAATACATGCCCTCGGGCCGTGACTAAAAGTGTTGAAGCTGTACAAGTCAGCTGCACCGCCCGCCGTGTCTAACAGCCAACGGTCAAGATCGAATTTCAGCGGATCCGATGACCACCGTCCAGGACTGTGATTGAGAGCCCAGATCGATATGCGGAAATTGGTGCCTTTGGGACACGGAACCCCTGAAACGGTGAGCTTTTGCTTTGCTATCCGCTGGAGCATATGCACTGGCGCATGAAGTCGGAGGGCTTCACTGACAACGGCGCTGGTGTACTTCAGATCGTCGACTGCAGCAACAGCAGCTGCCAATTCGCAATCTGGTGACGCTATGTTCGAGCGGACCTCCTGTCTGATACGCTCCGGATCGGTGGTGACCTCGACACTTCAAAAAGAGCCCAGCTTAAGGCAGAAGCGGTCGTCTCTTGCCCAGCGCCCAAGAACGTCATGCATTCATGGGTCAAGGCTTCTGAATCAAGGACACCAGACGACATGATAGCACTAAGAATGTCTGATGGCGTTTCTCCGCTCTGGAGGCCGACTTTTCGGTCGTCAAGTAGACCTGCAATTGTTTTTCGGATCGTGTTCAGAGCGATATTGAGTTCGCGATTGCGCTTCAGCGGCAAGATATTCAACAGCCAGGCTGGCAGGAGGAAGCCAAGCAACCTTCGACGTTGAGCTGATTTACTAGAATTGAATCCAGTTGCGTAATTCTTGGTCATTTCGTTGTCGGGATGCGCTACAGATTTGAAGTCCATCCCGAATCCAGCCGCGCCAATGATATCGAGTGTAGGACGACTGAGAAGGGGAACAACATCAACTGTGTCTGGGACGTTGTTCAGTTGGTCTATGAACTCAAGCGATTTCTTCCAAAACGTAGGGTAATTGTCTTTGATCTGCTTGAACTTGAACGCGGGCTGTAATAATCTACGTTGATTCTGTACACATGAATATTGATTCCCAATCGAAAGCATCTATGGCTTACTTTGTGATTTTGCCCTTCTGCCGTGACTAAACCGTCGCCCAATATACCTTGTAGAATTGCGCGGACTGCTCGTGGCTTCTCGAACTTATATGTTTCCAATTGCAAAATGTCCTTAATGCCTTGAGGACCGGTTACCAGCACTCTTTCGCTACCCATTATTCCATAGTAACGTATGAGGCCGTTGTTTGGGATGCTTTGCATCCATTTCTCGCACTCATGACTTTGTGGTTCGACTAGAAACCTTCTGTACAGTGGCCCTTGGTCGGGTGACGGGAGATGCCGTAGAGGATTGAACAGTGGCTTGAGCAACAGTCGGTACAACAGGACCAGAGAGAGCGCTGCAACGGAGAAGAGCTGTAATGGGAAAGAAGTCATATTTGCTCAACTTTTGAGCACCTTGTCAAAGTCACCGACAACGAGGGTCGTTAGCGATGCGAGAGCGGTCGCCGGAACAGTGCCAGCGGGAATGGGTAAGTGGAATACATAAGTGTCAGACAAAAGCTAGTTTACGGTCCTGAGGGCCGCGGTCCTTTTGGTCCAACAATAAGTCAACCAGAGATGAGGCACCCAAGCCATCATGCGACGTGGCGTTCAGACGCTCAGGGGGAATTGAAATCGTCACCTGCCAGAAATTGGAACACCATTTCAGTGTCTTGGGATGGGACAGTACCAAAATGACTGAAGACAATTCAAACCAACCCCCTAGCCGTGGCCCAATGGGTGGAGCCCTTAG